TTTTTTTTTTTTTAAATTAATACTTAATATTTAAAATACTTATAATACTTATAATATTTATAATACTTAATATTTATAATATTTAAAATATTATATAATACTTTTATTTAAAATTAATAAAACTATTTAAAATATTATATAATACTTATAATATTTAAAATACTTAATATTTAAAATATTTATAATACTTAATATTTAAAATAATACATCTATCTTTCATACATGTCTTTGTTTGTTATACAGGAGAGGCTTTCAAAGGATGCCTGGGTGAAGTAAGAATTGGAAGTATGCTTCTGCATTATTTCACGTACGAAGAGGTGTATCAGAACGCCAATTTTACACCTTTGGAATACCTGGCACTGCAAGAAAATAATTCAACGTACCGCGACGTTATTGGCTGTCAACTATGCTTCGACTCCGAATGCAAAAATGACGGCTACTGTCTCGATCAAGCGACCAGTTACATCTGTGAATGCCCACCAGGTTATACAAAGGACGACTGTTCTTTCAACATCGACGAATGCATTGATAATAAATGTAAAAACGGAGCAACGTGCATCGATGGAATTGCTAATTACACGTGTGTGTGTAATAGCGGTTGGCAGGGATGGTTGTTAGTATATAACATGATACATTATATTGAACTTCTCGAAAATTAAAAAATTTGAATTTCATAAACATTTTTATTTCAGATGCGACAGTGACATAAATGAGTGTGTAACGCTCAGCCCTTGTCAGCACGATGGCGTATGCCTAAATCTTCCTGGCTACTTCCGCTGTGAATGCCCCGATCAATTTACTGGTGAACGTTGTGAGAACTTCCGTCTGATCACTTGTGAAAATCAACCTTGCAAAAATGGTGGCAGTTGCACGGATGTTGTGAACACACAAACGGGTGATAATTTCACTTGTACTTGTACGACTGGTTACGAAGGTTCGATTTGTGATACTCCTTATTGCATCGCACAAAAGTGCCAAAATGATGGCAGATGTGATTACTTACACCAGGTACGCGTACAATTCGATTGACTAATGCGAGGGCTTGTTTCATTTAATCTTAATAATCTAAATATGTAATAAATATATATATAAATAATATTTATAATATTTATATATATATATATTATAAAATATATAATAAATAATAATACATCTGTAATAACTTGTCAACATGTGCAATAACTTGTTACTTCAAACTGCTAGACACCGCGGTGCACTTGTCTGCCCGGCTATTCCGGATTATATTGCGAAATTAATATCGACGACTGCGCACCGGATGTAGAGGGAAATGTACCATGTAAAAACGATGGAAAGTGCTACGACGGTGTGGATAGTTTCACGTGCGATTGTAACGATACTGGTTACACTGGGCATGACTGTTCAATCGATATAGATGAATGTGAGATGAAAACGATGGACTGTGGTCAAGGACGATGTGAAAATTTGCCAGGAACTTATCAATGTATCTGTGATCAGGGCTATTGCGGATACAATTGTGGAATGCTGGATCCCTGTCGAGCGGTATCATCTCTCAGACAATTTTTCTTGTTTGACATATTGGTATATATAGTTTCTTACATGTTTTACGATTCTCTTTAGGATTATTGTCAAAATGGAGGTACGTGTAAATGTGGAGACGACGGCGGTTACAGGTGTCAGTGCACACAAGATTACACTGGACAAAATTGTACAGAGGTATGTTCCAATATTCTAACGTAATTTACATTAATTATACACTCAATTATACACTCGTGAATTTTGCCTTCTATTTTAGACGGAGAACTTTTTGAGTAGTCAAGCACTTGACATAGCAGTAATCGTTGGTCCCATCGTTGGTTGTCTGTTTATTATTGCGGCCGGCTCTTTAATCGCATTATTCATGATGGCTAGAAAGAAACGAGCTACTCGAGGAACGTACAGTCCAAGTGCTCAAGAATTCAGTAATCCGCGTGTAGAGATGGACAATGTGATGAAACCACCACCGGAGGAGAGATTAATCTAAAAAAATCTTAAATTTTAATCTAATCTTAAAAAATCCTAGTCTGCCAGGAATACGCATCGTTGTTGGTCGCAGTGTTAGTGGATGTTAAAGAGAAACAAATCCAAGGGCTCGTTTTCTTTTCGACGAAACTGCTTCAAAACGATCAATGAAAATATACGAGGTTTCATCGCGCGTCTTCTAGTCCATGCTACTTTACCACGCAATTATAACATTCAGGAGTTCAAGGAGTTCAATGAGCAATTTGGGACAAAAAATAATCGAATTTACTACGATACGCGTAAGCGACGCTGAGGATGAAATGTACCAAAACTGCCTATGAAATTTAAAGTTGACCATAAGGTAGAAACGAAAATGGACAAAATTGTTGAAAAAAATAATCGAAAGAAAAAAGATTGATCACAAACAGTGAGATGAAGAAGTACGTTATGAAATTTATATACATTAATCGTGCTGTTGATTCGAACAAATCATATAGTTATACAAAGTGTACTTAAAACTTCATTAAGTGTCCTTAACTTGATGAGCAATACTCGGAAAAAATCTCCTAAGAAACGAAACCCGTCCATTTTAGTGCCTATAATTAACCCTACTTGAAAGCTTTTATTTATAAGCCGATAAATTTGAAACATCGAAAAATGTATATTGCAAGTATGTTACATCGAGATCTCTAAAGCATAATGATATTCATATTATTAACGTCTTATTTGTTAGGCCTTGGGTAATCATGATACAGATATTAATACAACGTAGTGTGATATTATGGTTTATTGCGAAGAACGTACGATTTATTGCTGGTACCTTGTAAAAATATTGTAAAGCAATGCTGTTTACAGATTGATGGAACCTTTTACGCGATTTTGTCTCCTTCCACGCGTTATCGTTACAGAAAAGAGAAATTAGCACTAAGTGATTAAGAAATCCCTGTATAAAATAACATTTCTCTTTTTCTACCTCGCTTTTAAAATAAAAGAACGATACGTGGGAGTAGAAGCTAACTCACGAATTTGTTCGTGAAAAATTGCTATAAAGGGTATTTATCACACTACGTGTCTACTAATGCACGTGCATTTACACGCTTGTTCAAGCTGATTCATCTTGTACATAGATTAGATTACGTTGCAAAAAAATCAATAACTATCCTATCATTAACATTTTACATTATGAAGTATAGTATTTAATGATGAATTATTTTGTATGTAATTACTTAATACCACGACCAAAGTAATAGCGAACAATCTTCTTGTCTATTGAAATATAAATGATATATACGTAAATAAGAAAACGTGTCATCGCTTCTTCAACAGTCAAGAATAATTATACTTTACAGAAATGAGAGTTAACACATTGTCTACTATGATTTCACGACCAAGATTACTATCTTTTATCTTTGTCTTGTAGGATCGAAATTGAAATAATTGCAAAATAATAAACATGCTTGTTTTAAGCATCATGCTATAACAAATATGTGAATGATATCAATCAAAAAAACACAATTATGTTTATAGTTTATATATTTGAAACGATAAGAATAATCGTATTATATTTTATTGTAAGTTATGGAAAGTAATTTTTGTCCAATGTGTATTATAAAGTGAATATCATTAATGTTTTTCGCAAGACTGAAATTTTGGGTACTAAGAGATACGTACGTGTGCATGCGCTTTTCATGTGAGTACTTATTTTGTGACAACACGCAATATTGTGCATAAATAATTATTGCAATTTGAATTAAATGTACAAAAACAATAAAAATTTAAATATTTCAACATAGTATTTATTTCTCTTTTTTGTAAAATACGTGCCAAAGTGTATGAAGATGTATGAAGAAAAGCTCACAAATTTATATAATTTATATAATACATACAAAACACATTACTATATGTACATGTATTACTTAAGAGTAAAAAATTACTTTAAATTCTCAGGTACATTTTTAAAAAATTTCAAGGTAATCAGCAAACTTTCATTCAATGAAATCTCCTTTTAAAATTAATTTCTATGTAAAATTCTGCTATAACAAAATATTTCATTTATTTCAAGTTGTCTTGATATCGTAATTATTTAACCATCTTCCCATTGATTTTATTTAATTTATCGCGTGCGATCTTATCGAAAAATAAAAGTCCAGCAGCACGTTCTATACTTTCTGGTGGTACCTGTTATGTTCATTATGATTAGCTTTAGAACATATAATAAAATATTGATTCTAATACATTGATGATTTACCTGGAAATTTGTTAGAGGTACATTATCATCTACAGGAGCATTCGGCATTACAAATGTCTCCATTTCTAATTTTGAATCGTGCGTTTCACCAACAACTATCTTATAAAAATGCGTAGGCACAGCCACATGATTTGTACCAATAACTTCATATCGAACATATTTCTTGCCGTTAGCTTCTACTCTGTAATAATTGTATATTTAGTACATCAAGAAACATTCAAGAAAACAGATTGCACGAAATAACAAAATTCAGCTCACTTTGGCAAGTACAAAGGACCGGTACAAACATACACATCCTTATAAACTTTAGTCAAATGTCTGACATATTTTTCCAGTCTGTTCCAAGAATCTCTGTTGAATCCCACACCCACTTGTGGTGCCATGTTTGTTAGGAAGAATGTCTGATCTATGTGACTTTGAGCACACTTGTGATTTCCAGCTGCTGCCAAATGTCCACGATCATATCCGCTTCCTTTGTAATCGCTATTCTCTGACCTGATTGTTAATCAAATTACTAAGAAATCTATTCAAAAATACATTGATTAAAATGACCACAAATATTTACCTAAAGAAGGGATGTATACTTGGATCAGGTTTGAATTCGCACTTACTACGTGATATCTCATTATTAGGTTGTAATTTATCCTTATTTAAATGTTCAAAGACCCAATGAGCTACCCTGTTTCTTCTATCGTATGAAAGAACAAAATCTTCATAGGATCTGACATGATCCAATCCGGGAAAACCGAATTTCATAATC